TATCTATATCAGAAGTTGGATATCTATACCAGAATTTGAACATGGATATGGATATGGATATGAATGTGTATTTGGTTTGGTTTCTGCTGGTGCGCGAGAATGAATTGAATGAATTGAATGAATTGAATGAATTGAATGAATAAATTAATGGGGTGGTAAGGATGGATGGAGGGATGGATGGATGGATGGATGGATGGGAAAAGGGGAGAAGGTTGGAAGGATAGAAGGGTAGAAGGGAGGTTGGAAGGTTGGAGGGGGAGAGGGAAGAAGGGGAAAAGGGTAGAAGGATGGAAGGAAGGTTAGAGGGGAAGAAGGAAGGATGAAGGGGAAAAGGGGAAAAGGGAGGTAGAAAGAGAGAGGGGAAGGATATATTTTGTATGGATTAGGATTAGAATTGGGATTGGGAGAGGGAGATGGAGATAGAATATTTTAGTGGGATGGAGTGAGAGAGATAGGGTAAGGGTAAGGGAAATGGAGTGAGGTAAGGTGAGGTAAAATGAAGTATCTAGGAAAATAGTTAATTAAATTTCAAGAAAGAAAAAAAGGAAAAGGGATAGAATAGAATGAAATGGAGAAGAGAAGAAGCAAAGAAAAGAAGAAAAAAAGATAAGAGGAGAGAGGAGATGGAAAGAAAGAGAAAGAGAAAAGAGAGAGGGAAAAGGAAGGGGAATTAAATTCAAAACACCTATCTACCAGCAATCACTCAATAATCTATTTAAGTAGATATATACAGTATAATGGTTTGGATAGGATGTGATTATACTGTTACAGAGAGAAATTATAAAATCGGAGGGGGGATGGATGATGGATTAAGGGTATTTATTGGTATTAACAAATAGTAGGATAGGATTGAGTGAGTAAGTGAGTGAGCACAGGTTAGATTAGATATACGAGGAGTATAGTATTGAAACATTGATGTATTGATGTATTGAAGTTGATGTTAATGTTGATGTTAATGTTCATTATAATATTAATTCTATTTTGATTTTCATTTCTTTTCCTTTGATACAACACCATACCATACCATACTCATCCCACCCCCATCCCAATATACTTTTCCTTATACCAAACAAATCAACCCATCAACCATCTTTTTATTTACTAACTACCTAGGTATACTCCAGTATTAACACCTACCATTTCAGTCCTTTGAATTTCATTTTACTTCAAATATTTTCCAATCTACTCTAGTATATAATTCATGGTGATGTAATCATTCAATTCAATTCATCCCAAATCTCAGATTTAACAATTATAGGTCAAATAATTATCAACTCAAATCCAAGAAAATGATACTCTATAGCTTTACTAGTACAACTCTATGAGCAAGTATATATGCCAACTAGCATTATCATCAATATCATCATTACTAAACAATGTAAAGAGTAAACAACATTCTGCATAGTGTACCCTCTGGTCATAACTCATTATCCATTAATCCTTTCCTTTCTTCCCCCCCTTACCCCCCTTTTTCATGTCGGTTATTGTGCCTAGGCTAGCCAAAACAAATCAATCAAAAAGCAAATGATGTACTGTACTGTGTAATAGCAATCGATATACGAGGAACGTAACTGGCAAAAGTGCAAACAAGTAAATATACAAATAGATAGACAGATAGACAGACAAGACAATACAATACAAAACCTCAATCGAGTATTACCCCTCCCACCCTCATTACCCACCTCGACATTATTCTCACCCCCACGCCCACCCTCTTATCTCTTCTCTTTATTACCTCACCACCCCCTCCTCTAACTCACCTACTCCCCGGTCCCAAACACCCCATTCCACTCCTCTTATCATACCTCCTCTGTCTTTCCTCCAAAATTTGTTCTCTCTTCTTTTCATTCCGTGTAGGATCATTCTTAGCATCTCCATCTTGACCTGGATTGGCCATTTCGTATTCGAGCATCTTGATGAATTTGTAGAAAAATACTGCGATGAATGTACCCATAATTGGTCCGACCCCTGTTAGAATATGGTATTAGTGTGAGTTTTAGAAGGAATGATTCGTAAGATATGCTGAGGAAAGGGGAAGCGAGATGAAAGGAGACAACTCACAATAAATCCAATGTTCCTTATCAAAAGACCCAGTAACAACACAAGGACCAAAGCTCCTGGATGGATTTAAACTTCCACCAGTATAGAACACACCCACCATCTCCGCAATAAATAATGCCAAACCAATACCCACCGGCGCAATGAATGTCGCCTTATGTTTTTCCTTTGCTAGCATAAAAATTGTAAAAACTAATTCAGCCGTTAAGATCGCTTCAATAAAAACACCACGCACCGTCGATGTACTAGCAGCCAGCGTAGTTCGTACATTGAATGTAGTAGGAAAGAGACCGAGAATTTGAGCGACAAATAGATATATGGCACGGGCGATGGGAAGGGCGCCAACGAGGACCATACCGAGGGTCACAGCGGGATTAAAGAGACCTCCTGAAATACGAAAGAAGATCCAAACATTTACCATGAGGGAGAAACCGAAGATGATGGAGATGTAGAGTTCAACTGAGACATCGAACCCGGTAGCACCACCTGTTGTAGTGTTTGCTGTGTCACTGTCGATGTTGGCGACTTGAGTACCGGCAAAGGCAAAGAAGAGGAACATAGTTGTGCCGACAAATTCACCGACTGTTGCTACAAAGTCTGTCGTTCGTGGTTAGTGTGTATGTAAAATATATGGAGAGGATGGGAAGACTCACGATTTTTGAAACCACTATTCATCCAATGCGTCCATGGTAATCTCATAACTATCGCTCTTTCTTCTGGTGTCAAATTTTCCAAATCAATCGTTCCTTTCTTTTCAGCTCTTTTATGTGAATCGTAATTATACCCGTCGATACTATCATCAGTACTCTTTCTTCGAATCTTCTCACCATTAGCCCATTCATGCGTAGCACCTGTTTCCCTGGCTCCCTTCTCTAGGTCTCGGTCTTTACCAAGATCACTTCGCGAGGGTTCATCAAAATATAATTTCTGAGAGCCACTTTCCCATCCCGCGATATTGCGATAGGTGTGTGGAGGACGGGAACGTTCGTTATAGTCGGGATGAGGGTAATCATCGTGGGTACGAGCACGGGAAGACATGGAAGCGTCTCTCTCTCTATTACCGTAAAAGAGATCTTCTCGAACACGGAGAGCTCGTCCAGTATCTGATGAAAAACTAGGTTGAGGGTCGTAATCACCGCCGAAATATCTTCTTGGGGGTGGTACTAATGGTCTTCTCAAACCGGTAACCGGCCTTGTGAGATCTTCACTGGAGAAGACGGGATATTGTGGAGTAATGCCGGGTGGTGACATGATGGGATGTGATGATTGGGGGGGGGTGACCACATTGCTGTATCCTTTTGATATGCTATGGAAGGGGATTGTATCAGTGGTACTAATTGTCGTTGTGAAGAACCAGGTCTTTTGATAAAGTCTCCATCCACAGTTCTAATGCTTTGGAATATGGGAAGGTCTGTGCCTTCGACTGACATTGCTAACTTGAGACTTTCGATATCGATGTCTAATTGGGGTGAAGGATAATCGTGATAGGGTAGGATGTAAAAAGGACGTTGTTTCAGTGCCTTAGCCGTGATGAGAGGGATTTTCTGCTCAAGGTGTAATAAAGTAAAAAGTGTGTATAATATTGGTATATTAAGATTGGCTTGTACAGATATAGATATATACGATCTGAAAGGACAACTTCCAATGGAATGACTTGAAGAGATATATATTCGAGTTTAACCATCTACTTTCCCCATTTTAAGCCACCGTCATGTAAAAGTATTTTGATCTTCTTAGACCTTGAATACACCTTTTTCTTTTTCTTTGCAATATCATTCATTCTAGCTACCTGTGTACGAAGATACTTCTTCTCAGGGTTTAATATCTAGGTTCTTGCTGGACAACTGTGCTTGAAAAAAAAAATCAACTACCGATATATCCAGACTCAACCCTCATATCAAATTACGGATCCCGAATGGCTGGTTCTCAAAATGAGGAGGAAGAGGTGACAGGAACGCCCATGTGTAAATCAATGCATAATAATAACGTGGACTACTAAGAAGATCCGATCGAAACAAGGTGACTTCAGAGAATCATGGGAAATATTTTGCACATCTACCGTAATGACGTAGATCCTCCAGATTCCATTCTCTCTCTGATATATAGCCCGTTGAGATAGATTGCAACAGCAGAAAAAAAGTGCTTTGCTTGTTAATTAATTTGAGATGAATTATAGGAAAAACGAATGCATGTATCATGGATGAACCTTGTCATCACGTGTACAGCATGTTTTCTTTCAGCCTTCAGAACTTCGGAAGACAACGACGAACACCCATAGAAGAACCGCAGAAGAAATGATTGCAAGGGAAATGCTTGTGAAATGATCTGAATGGTTAGCATCGATGATGGTTGAGAGGAGAGGGTTAGTTATATCATCGGACAATAGTGTTGTGACCGTTGTTTGAGAGTCTATTGAATCGAATTTTCAGTTGAGATGGTTACACTTAATGCCGCGAAGTCCAATTCGAATTCATGCATCCATATAAAGATGAAATAACATATAATTTTATAAGAATCCTCTGGCCTTTTGGCCTTTTGTTCAAATTTGCCATCGGAAGCTAAAATCATCCTAACGGAGATTGCGATTCTTTCAGTGTAATTAGAAATGTTGAAGAGACTGACCGAAGAGAAGAGACTCAATTCCGGATTCTCGCTAAAACAGAATCACCCCTCATTGGCGGATAACATGATGTGGTCCATAGTCTTAGTCTTTTCGAGGTATATCATGAGAGTGATATAGGTTAATATATACTCTTATGCTTTTCCTTCTTTTTCTGGATCTGTCTCTACTGGGTCAATTGTCTCGTCTCAGGACATTGATAACTCATTTCCACATTCATCATACCCCCTTTCCCGTCCCTTGCTCACGAACGACTTAAACAAATATAGAAAAATAATTAAAGATTATTATAGACTCATCCAGAGTCTCTGTGGAAACCCCCTTACAATACCCCAAGAACAACCATCTGTTACTAATCCTCACCACCATCCTCTCTTCCATGACTTACAAAATCCCCGGTATTACCGCCTTTCTTCCTCCAACCTTCTCTTTACCAAATCTCTTCACATACCATGCCTTTCCCTGTACAGCTCTAGGGAGCATAGTAGCCACCTCATTTACAAGAAAATTTCTTGCAGGTACACAATCACCTCCCGCCATAATAAAGAATCCAGCCCATTCGATCCATTCGCAGAAATAATGTGGGTATAATATATAACTGAAAAGCCCATTTTGAGGTATCATGTATACTTTGTCGACTTTGGCATTTCCTTTATTTTTCCCAGTTGAAGGATCTTTCTGAGCTGCTTGTTTTCGAAGTGCCGCGCGTCTAATTTCTCGTAGTTCATCGTCATGAAATACGTTAGATACTAAACCGAGAAAGAATATCATCATGCCGAATTCGATTCTTGCTCCGTTTACATATGGATTTCCGGACACAGGTCTCCTATAAGTAAACTCATTAGCATCTCTTGAAAACTGCCATGCTATTCCATGCTGTATGCAGAAGTATGTACCAATCAGCTCTCGTGACAGGACCGTAACCAGCAAAATAGCACCCCAGAGATGTAGCATTGGTGACTTGAAAGGCAATCGCCGAAAGCCAAACGATAGGGTGAATAGGTGACATAGAAGGAGATATAAGAGGGCCTATTATAGCACGATTGAGGTAATGTATGACCTAGAAATTTGTTATATGGTTAGCCCAAATCCTTGAATTCCTCAATTTTATCAATTGCTTCCTCCGGACTCGCACTGGCTCTTCCTTTTCTCCACCAACCCAACATCCATTCATATTCACCCATTGAGACCACTCCTTCATTCTCCCTCAATCCCTCCTATCCCTCCCTTTCCCGCCAAAATGCTCAGTAGAAGAAAACTCACATAAAGCCCAGCCATCAACTTATTCTCCCAAGGTAACTCCTTCAATCCCACTTCCGCAGGTAACGTATACATGACATACAACATTGTCAACAAACCCGGCGTTTCCATCGTAATCCAAGCTATCTTCCCGGGTATATTGAATCGACTATTTGACGATGTCTTGCCTGCCCCATACCATGGCTGAATCCATTGAAGTAACGTTACCTATTCGAATTCGAATTAGCTCTTTTATATTGGATAGCATGTTCCCATGGGGGAATACAAAGGACGTCCCTGAATGATCGTAGAGAGAAGAAAGAAGAGAAAAGAGAGAAGAGAAAGAAGTACAAACCAAGGGAAACCATTTAAATCCCCAAATGATCAATTCCCAATTTTCCCTCGATGGAGGCATCCAATTTTCTACAAGAACCATCTTGATGAGTCTTCACCTCGAATAATGATTACGGTCGAGGAAGGGGATTTGAGAAGAAGAAGAGGAAGAAAGTTGTGGTTGGAGTGGAGTGAAGGAAGTACAATAACACTAAAACAACTTTAGTGATGTCATTCATCATTGTGGTCTCATTTTCGTGTGCGATACGCCCGTTTGCTCAGCCTTGCATAGGGCGACCAATCATATTTGATTATCAGATTAGCTTAAAATATAATATCGCAGCCTTTCCATTTCGCGATAACGATATCGACATCGATAAATATCTAGCTAGATAATTTCTTTTTGTTTTTATCATTTATTACGACGGGACGATATCATATGTCTTCAGCACCCGAAGATTCGACCATGACCATCTCTTCTACTCTCCTCGCATTCTACACTAGCAACCTCAAGTCATTCATCTCCTCCCCCTCAACCTTTCGTATCCTTCGTTCCATCTCCCCATGCAAACCAAACCCCCCAAATCCTCCACCCCCGACAAACCTCACAACCAAACCCCTCAACACACACGACGCCTATTATATCGGCTCTTCTTCCATTGACAACCACAAAGATCACGGTCCAATTCCCCAATCTTCCTCCCAAGCCCTCTACATCCTCGATTCCTCCTTCAACCCGCCCACCCTCGCCCACGCCCACATCTGCCTCTCCGCCCTGCGCGATCACTATGCATCCTCCGAATTACAACATTCAAAAGCGAGATTGTTATTACTGCTAAGTACAAAAAATGCAGATAAGCAGATTACCGGGGTGACATTGGAAGAGAGATTAGTTGGGATGGAATGTTTTGCAGCTGATCTTTTGAGAAATTGGCTATATACTCATATGGCTTTCGATCATCCAGATAGGAAGCCTGCGCCTTCTTCTCAACGGGAATATCTCGTTCCTCCCGGTCCAGCCCCCGAAATAGACATAGCACTCACCTCGCTCCCCTATTTCCACGACAAGTCAGCCGCTATCGAAGAATCCGCCATCTACCCCCACGGAACCACGCATATCCATTGCACCGGCTACGACACACTTATCCGAGTACTAAATCCCAAATATTATCCTCCTACGCATGACCTCTCACCCCTCGCACCATTTCTATCACGCCATAAACTGCGGGTCACATATCGCAACTCGGATAAATCCAGCACCATGGAAGAGAATCAAGATAGCTACCTCTCCTCGATGATCGAGACACTGCCGTCACTAGGCGGGAATCGCGAATGGATAACGGAAGACAGAATATACATGGCGCCAGGCCTCGAAGGAAAAGAAATCAGCAGCACCAGAGTCCGCGGCTTGATTAGCAGTATTAGCGCGCCTGATCCCCATAAGAAAGGAGCAGGGAGTAAGCAACATAAGGGGAAGGGGAAAGGGCCAGATAAGAAGATTAAAGAGCGGTTGAAAGGCTTGGTGGGGGAAGGAGTCAGAAAGTGGGTTATAGGGGAGAAGTTATATTTCTATAAAAAGAAGCCACTGTTATTGGTAGCTGAGAAGAAAGAGGTACCAGAGGAATAAATACTAGATTGAGGTAGGCAGGATAAGAAATTGGGGGGAGGGGGGAAGAAAGTTGACGAATAAGAAATAAGAATTGGCATAGAGATTCCATGTGGGCATACTGCAGAAACCCGATCTAGCTTTAACATGCATGGTATTTGGCTAAATTCACTAGTCTATAAAGTAATCACCTAGTGTATAGATATAGTAAAACAAGACTACCACTACCACTACCACTACCCACTACCCACTACCCACTCCAAATCTAGACGATACCTCAGTTCAAAGCTATAGCTGGTACAGTACCAGTACCATTCCCATTCGTAGTCACTAGCAGTCAATCCCAGAACCAGAACTAGAACTAGAGCTTCACAAAATCATCTCATCTCATCTCATCCCACATAATCCTCCCATCTCCCATCTCCCACCTCCTAACCTCTAATACCAAGACTCCCCAGAAAAGGAGAACTTCGCTTACCTTACCTTACCAACTGACAATCTAGCAATCTGATATTATTTATCTACTCGAGTACTTCATCAACCCATCTATCAACCCATCAACTCATCTATCTACTCATCAATCTATCTACAAATCTATCTATCCATCTATAAAAAACCACTCAAATACCATCTCACCTCAACCAACTAAGGTCTAAGGTTCAGTCCAACCATATTTGAACAAAGCCAATATACTCGTATATATAACCTAGTTTTAATTGCCAGCTAATATAAGATTACAAAATATCGAACCAAAATGAATTCCACTTTCCAGATTATTCTAATTAACCTTACCTTACATAGTTAGTTTGGCTTTTGACTTGGATCAATACTAGTAGATAGCTAAATCAAATACAGCTGGATTTAATCTTAGTTAGTTGAGGTAAGGTAAGATATTATTTGTATAACGACCGGTACTGGTACTACTGGATTATAGTATCACTCAAACAAAACAATCAAAAATCAAATAAACCAAAACAAAACAAAATAAAACAATCAAATACTAGTACTCAGTACTCAGTACAACATACAAGTATAAGTCAAGTATAAGTAGATACAATACTCGAGTATAATTGAGAATAATAACCTCATCTGAATTCCAATTCATATCTATACTCAGTACTCGTATATAACTCTCCACTCTTCAGTTTATATCCGCCATTTCCTCTCTCTTTCACTCTTTATCCTTCATCCTCCCCTTCAACCCCTCCCTTCAACCCCAACTTCAGCCCTACTCATCTAAATCTATATATAACCACAGCCGCAGCCGCAGCCTCAGCCCTTTCTATATATTGTATTACATTTCCTCCTTTCTCTTCCTCTCTCTTCCTCCTCTCTCTTCCCTTTCTCACTTCTCTCTTCCTCTTCCTCCTCTTTCTTCCTTCTCTCTTCCTCCTCCAACCCCTCCCTCTTCTTCCTCTCTCTTCCTCTTTCTTCCTCTTCCTCCCTTTCTCTTCATTTATCCAACAATAGTATGTAAAAATGACATACTCGAGTATACAAACGATATGTACAAAACAACACAACATGCACATTCAAATCTTCTCTTCTCTTCTCATTACAATCAATTACAACTAAAATCACATCACATCACATCACACTAAATCATCAATTCTGTCCAGTCAACTTCTTCTTATTCTTCTTATTCTCCCCCCTTAATCTAACTCTCTCCCCATCAAACGCTAAAGGTATTAAATATACCTGCTCTAGTATATATACAATGAAAGAATTGTATGTATGTATGTACCTTTTATAATTCTAACCCCTCCCCCCTTTTCTCTAAGAAGTTTCTCTCAAACTCAAACCCATACTTCCACATTTTATATCTGATCTTAACCTAACCTAACGCCATCCATACCATGCATTCTGGACCCATTCCAGTACCATTCCATCCCATCCAGTCCCGTCCAGTCAGTTCCCTTCCTTTCCCTTCCTTTCGCCAATGAGTGTGTACACAAAAAAAGTAGAGACTGAAAAGTAACTCCCCAAAGCAAGATACATATACAGCCCAGTACTTTTGTACCTCCTGTAATACAATATCCGAGCCAGAAACGCTCCATTTGGCATAGAATGAAAATAATAAGTCGTCAATCAGTTTATTCCTCTTCCTCTTCCAGTCCATTAACGCATATTTGATTGATCCAGCTTCCAGCTCTCACAAAGTCCATACCAATTCCAACACACCATCAACATCATACATTCCCTTTCCGTCCTTATGATCTTTCCACCTCCAATCATCCTTCTTTCGGATATATGTTTGTCTCACGGTTCCATCCGCCTTCAATTCCGATTCTGCTAGATCCCATGAAACCTTTCGTCCCGTCTCACGAAGAGGCATTCGTTGAGGTCCGAACATGAAATCAAGATTCCACCCTGTTCCATCATCACCCAACGCATTGAAAGTTCTCTCCATTTGGTGCAAGTTGAAATCAATACCCTTTGGATAATGCGCAATAGACCAACCGTTCGTCAAAATAAAGTCGTCTTTCGTTCGGAATCTTTGGAGAAAACAATCTTCGCCACAAACTTGTTGGATCTTGGTGGATTCATACACTTGTGCTTCGTGCCACATTCCTCCCTTGAAATGATGAAGAGAAAGCGGTCGGATACCAGATTCATAGAAGCCAGATGGGTCACCAACAATATCCAATTGCCAAATATCGTGAAGGACAGTCAATCGGACTTCAGTGTTTTCATATACACACTTTCGGAGAAGGATATCTCCTTGAGATCCCCAACCGGAGTTGGCTTCTTCGACTTTTTGTTTGGTGCTGCATTGATGGAAAAGGTCTGTAATTGTTGCGGCCAATGGGATAGAGAAGAAAACGCCCGCCCCGCCATAAGCTTGGCTTCCATGGCGTGCAAGACTACCGACATCTTCGGAAAGATTTCCAATATATAAATCTTCACTCGCATCGTATGTTGCCATTTTCTTGACGAGAGCATCCATGTTTGGGAAAAATGTGTCGTCATCGCACATTACCAACCATTTTCGATATTTTCGGGAGTTGTCGTTGTATAAAGCTGGTAGGAGGGAGAAGTAACGTTCGGCCATTTCGATTTTGCTGTCTGCAGTGTAGACTTTCGCATCAATTCCATATTTTTTCAACAACTTCTTGATTTCATTGATTTCCTTGTCGGAAGCATCGACCAATCGCAGAATCAACCCTCCTCCATTAGAGTTTCCATGACCATCTGTCAACCAATGCGACCAGTCTAGCATAGGATTGATCTTGGGATCTGTGATTCTCTTAAAGGTGGTTGAGATACCAAAGAGGAATTCAGTAGCATTTACATCTGCAGGAATGGCAGAATTTGGAACTGGTACATCGAGTGGTTTCAGACATTTCGTAGTAGGTGCTAGATCCTTTTCGATGTTGATTATATCAAAGCTTCGGGGGAATAAGTGTTCGTCAAGTCTAGTAATGGATTTTCGTTCAATATCTTGTCGTTGATATCTGACTTGTCGGGAAGCATATTCGATTTTATCATCCAGACCATATTTCTCTTTCAATTCATGTAGATGTGTTGAATTGACGGTACATTCGGGAGAGCCGTTTTGTGTGATAAGGATTTCTTGTGGACTTGGAGAAAGCTTCGATTGGATTTGATGAAGTCTTTCTTGTGTAGGTCTTCCGGTGAAGAAGATGATTGTGACGCAAATGAGTGTGAATACCGCGATGCGGGTGAAAGAACTTCGAGGGTTGATTAACCTATTAGGTGACATTGAGGTACCGGTACCCATCATCATGCCCATGATGAACTTTTGGGGGAGTGAAATTGTGCAAACCAGTAACACAAACTTTCTCTATGACGTGATGATTAAAAAGATAGCAGGGGGGTTAAAGAAGAGAAGTTGAGGAGGATGAGAGATAGAAGAACGAGGGATGTAGCGACAGTTATTCTTCTGAGAAGATATCGACGACGTAGGTACAAGATTGAATGTGATTGATGTAAGAAAGATAGAAGAGATGTTAAAGAGAAGGGTCGTAGGATAGATAGATTTTTAAGATTTAAGAAGTTAAATCGAATCAACTAAAGAAGAAGGAAACTCGAACTAAGATAAGATTTCGATATGCAACTTCCCTAAACACTAATGAACCTTGTAAGTAGTATACCTAGTACAAACAGAAAAACTTGTGGAGGATAAGTAGATTTCAGAACATGAGACAGTCTTGTGAGAGGATGAGATCAACATTTCTATTTGGGGTTGATAATGAATGAAAGATATGCGGAGAGAAGAAAGCAATTCGAGTTGTTACAATTTACCTTCTCTTCTCTCACTTCTCTCACTTCTCTCACTTCTCTCACTTCTCTCACTCTCTCACTCTCTTCTCCAAAGATTTGATATCGAGCTTTATTGTTGGTGGCATTATAGTCAGGGGCAATCTGATCAAGAGTCAAGACGGATGTCTCTTAGACTTCTTTAGTGCCCGGGCCAATTATACCAAAGAGCAAGAAATATGCGGCGGGGGATTGCGTGGACAAGTGGAGTTCATGGAAGATTAATAAAGATAGATCTGGATACACAACATAACACGCCGGCTGGAACACAAGATGATGGTTTGTTTATTTATAGATTTGAGATGAATACGGTAAAGAGTGAAGAAGATACCGAAACCGGTACAGTAGACAGTAGAGTTGAAGTCTGAAGATGAAGATGAAGTTGTTTTCAATATGAGAGACATGATTTTGTTTGAATCAATGGTTACACATACCTTGATACAGTATGACTACCGGGAGTACAGTAATAATAAAATTCCAGTATCAAAATCAAAATGCCTCTTAATTACTCCACCCACAAACAAACCCCTCCCACTGAGAATATATCTGTACTATGAACTTCGGCATTGTCCCCTTCTAACCCATCATTACTTCAAGGTTATCTCGGCCAAACACTCCATAACGGATCATCACATAGGGTAGGGGGTATGTCATTGTCATGTCATCTCAATCAATGCTCCTCCATTCAATCAAGTAATGTCAAAGCAAGATCACGTCAATCTACTCCTCGATAACTTGTTCTGCATGTTCTTCTCTAACAAAATGAGCATCATCAATCAAGCTCTCAAACCAACCTTGAGCCAACCAACATCTTGAAACAACGGTTTTCAATGTTGAGTGTTTATTAATACTTTCATCGTTTTATGTAGAAATGATATTCCAACATGACGAACCGACCGAAGTTTAGCATATCGGTAGAGTAGTTTCTGGATGATCTTTTTGATAAAGCAATAAGGGTCGAGGGTCGAGGGGTCGAGGGTTTGAGAGTCGAGAGTCGAGAATGGGCTTTTGATAATTTGGTACTACTGCGGGTGTTTGCCACTATTTGGTACAAGTAATTTCTCTTGCGTATTCTCCACTGGAAATTCAGAGTCGAGACCCGAAGATGGCTTTTCGGAATTGGTCTGGATAAGGAATAGGGGTGAGATTGTAGTAAATTCGTGAAAGGGGTTGCGAATTGGGGTATGATAGTATGATAAGAATTACCTATTCAATATACTGATATTATATAAAGTTCTTCATTAGATGGGTACCTATGTTGTGTTTGTTAGACATCATATATCAAAATGTACTCCAGATAGATCCAACAACCTAGCCTATTATGCACGATTCTGTACATTGAAAGTACAGCATCTTCAAGGAGGTCTCACTTATACCGGTAGTGGCACAAATTCAATGATCATACAGTAAGTACAGTATCAAACTTGAGGGGAATGAATGACTTGATTTCAGACGACTGAGAATCGTATAGCTTTATGTAAGTGAATGAATTATCAGAATCTCTTTTCCCGTCCAATTTCTCTCCTAATAAAAGACATTTCTTACATTTCCTTCACTGAAATTGCCCACCGCCCGACCTAAAAGTAATTCTTGCCTTGTAGCCTTAATTTCTGCCATGTTACTTGTTACTCCAGCGACCCGGTCGTCTACCTTGTCCATCAAACCCCCCCCCTCCCCCCCCCGCATTATTTACATGTTCAACCAATACAAGTCTATTGAAACTCATCATGTCTAGGCAAGTAGGCTTTTACCTTTGCTATCATATTCCCATCAAAATCAAAAGCTAACCTTCAAACCATCAGCGATATCCTCTTTCTACCCTTTCGGAAGGCTACCAACCTACTATTATCAGATGCTATAAAGCAATACATATCCACGAAATATAACCAGCATCCGGACATGTTCAAGCAAGATCTTGAGGTTATTGATGCTTTACGAAGAGATGCTATTCATGTTAGGGAACCACATATCAGTGGGATAAGAAAGATATCAGCATACGCGGGGCAACTTTCTTGGTTGGGGGGCAAATTCCCTATAGACGTATGTGAACCTTCCACTTTGCCGCAGATATATATTTACTTAACCATGATAGATTGGAGTGGAATTCTCATGGTATCCAGCTCTAGGTTACCATACCGATAGACCTATCGTCGAAAATAACCTCAAATTCGAACTCGCAAACATAATGTTCAACCTCGCAGCACTTTACTCCCAACTCGCCATGTCTTCGAATAGAATGAATACGGACGGCTTGAAAGTTGCTTGTAATTACTTTGCTCTTGCAGCAGGAGTTCTCAAACATTTGAAGACCGAAATTATACCAGAACTACGCACTTCCCCTCCAGACGATATGGACGATCATACGCTCGACTCTCTTCAATATCTCATGTTAGCACAAGCCCAAGAATGTTTTTGGCAAAAAGCAGTAATAGATGGGTATAAAGATGCATCTATAGCCAAACTAGCATCGAAGGTTTCAGACCTATATGCGGAAGCGGGAGATTGTGGTGTGCAAAGTGAAGCTATAAGTGCGGAATGGATACATCATTCTACAGCTAAACATCATCATTTTGCCGCCGCGGCACAATATCGCATGGCTTGTGATTGTTTGGAGAAGAGAAAATATGGGGAGGAGGTAGCGAGATTGAGGGATAGTATTTCTTGTGTTGATGAGGCATTGAAGGAACAGAGGTATATCAATAAAATGGTATTGGAAGATTTACAAGGGTTGAAACTTAAGGTAACGGAGGATTTGAAGAGAGCGGAAAAGGACAATGATTTAATCTATCTCAGTAAGTTTACTTGTGTTTCTTCAATTGGGTGACGCTCCGCTGGCCCTCCGGGGGCCACTGCCGTGGAGGCAGACTATTTGAGAAGGAAGATCGGCTTTCGAGCGCAGCGAGCTAATGGGGGTCTGGGGGATTGCCCCTATATACAACCACATAAACAACACGAATGTATGTTTTTGGGAGTTTGGATTATGGCTAACTATTCAGATCCCGTACCACTTAAATCCCAACTCAAAACTCTTGAACGAGCGAATATGGTCAGTGCTAAGATTCCAAAAGAGGTTTCCGAGCCCATGACTTTTCTCGGAGACCATAAAGAGTTTGGACCACTTCTCTTTTCCAAACTTGTTCCGTTTGCGGTTCACGTAGCAGCCAGCATTTACGAAGAACGCCGCGACCGAATTGTTAACAACAATATTATCGATGAACTTGAGATCTTAACAACTCGCATTCATGATACCCTTCGCTCCCTCAGCCTTCCTGGCTCCTTGCAAGCTCTCGAGAAACCTTTAGGCCTTCCGCCTACTCTACTTTCCCACGCGGAAGAACTCCGTCAGGCAGATGCCGTTGGCCGTATCCATCGAACATTTTCCGATGCTGCAAAACTCAAGGCAACAGATGAAGGCATTTTCCTCGAAGCAAAAGAGTTGCTACAATCAGAAGCTTCTGAAAATGAACGCTTTCTGAGAAAATTTGGAAGTGATAGATGGTCACGTTTAGATTCTCGGTCTGCAGCTCCAAAACTGTACACTCAAGTCGATGAAATTGAGGGTTACTTCAAAAGTGCAGCAAGTAGCGACCAAGTCGTTATTGACCGATTCCACGAGTATGAACCTATTCTTGAGATTCTTACTGGTTCTGATCACGATATCGGAAATTTTGTCCCCAGTTCTCGACGAGTAACCATACTACCAAAACTCGAAGGAGAAGTTTCAAAAGTTAGAAATTCACTCAACGAAATCTCAAGGTTGGAAAGTAGAAGGAGGAGAAAGATTGAAGCGTTGAGGGGAAAGACAAAGAAAGATGATATTAACCATAGCATTCTAACCGAAGCCGCCCGCCTCGAACGAGAATACCCATCAACACCAATTGTCCCTGCACACTTTGAAGATTTCTTCGAACAACGCCTCTCCCACAACTACGGCATCGATCTCGCCTCTCTGAAATCTGAAACCGAGGAACAGGAAAACCTCCTCCAACAATTGGAGATAGCAAACGTATCATTCACTAAAGCTAGAGCGGGAGATACAAGTACCAGGGAAAGAGAACAGGCTTTACAAAAATTGGAAATGGCTTATTATAAGTACAAGGAGATAGTCAATAATGTAGATGGAGGAAGGAAATTCTACAACGATCTTGCAAAGATTGTGGGGAGGTTTAGGGATGGCTGTAAGGCTTTTGTGGGGGAGAGGAGAGAAGAAGGGAGGAGGGCGGAGGCTGATTTATCTATGCCGTTGGCGCCGATGAGTAATTTGAGTTTACATCATTCCCAGCCTATAGTGCATCATGCGCCACCGCCCCCGCAACCGGTTATTCCGGTACAAATGCAAGGGAATGAGAGTCTACCGCCTCCGAGGAGAGGAATCAGTCCAATTCAAGCGCCGGTTCCGCAAAGAGCGAGTTTGCAGAGTACACCGGTTAATGTGGCGAGTGGTGGGGGTGGTGGTGTAGGGCAAATGCCGGGGGCGTTTGGAAGTAGTGTGAATATGGGGATGGGAGGTGGAGGTGGGACGTGGAATCCGGAATTGGGAATTAAATTTGGGGGTGGGGGGGGTGGTGGAGTGGGACAAAATCCTGAGGGTGCGTCTGGACCGACACAGCCGAAACAAACGACGTGGGATCCGAGTTTGGGGCTGAGATTTGGGTGAGTGGAGTGAGTTGAGGGTATGGGGTGAAGGTATGGGATGAAGAGAAGAGGCGGTAGTGGAGGAAGGGTGGTGTGTGTATACGTATGTGTTTGTGATGGAAAGGGGAGGTGTAAGGGGAAGGGGGATGGGAAGTGAAATATTGATATTGATCTTAAAAGGAAATGATACATGCGCACAAATGAACATATATACATACATACATATTAACATGGGATATGGGATATGGGATATGGGATGTAAGTAAGATATTAGATAAAGCTCACTACAGTATATCGAGCGGGTATTAGTATCAGATGAGGCGACGGATGCATTATGAAATTAAGGAACTGAATTTTATTTTCTCATCTATCTGAAATTGAATCTTGAGAATTGATTCTTGGGTGTTTTTTTGTTGTTTATTGATGAGATTGAAAAGAGATTGATGAGATGAATGAGATGGCATTGATGAAATTGATGAGATGAGATGAGATGAGATGAGATGAATGAGATTGAGATTGATGAGATGAAGTGGATGAATGGAATGAGATGAGATGAATGAGATGATATGAGATGATATGAGATGAATGGACGGGTAGGATGGGTAGGGAAAGAGGGAAGAGATTGGGATGGGATGGGATGGGATGCAGAGTAAGGGAGAGAAGTGAATAGGGTGAGATGATATGAGATGAAGTGGATGGAGGGTAACCTATGATAGGTAGGATGGGTAAGGAGAGAGGGAAGAGAGGGAAGAGGTTAATGAGATGAGTACACTGTTTAAATAATCGAAATATAAAGTATACGACGAGACAATCCGAATACATAATATGAAGTGAAGCGAAACGAAACGAAAGAATTATCACAAGCGTAGACGTAACTACGAGTAGTATATTATAAGCATTTCTTTTATATAATGCTTTTTAAAAACTATAATTATAAAATTAGTATATTATAAATTCTGAAATTTGAAAACAGAAATTTCAATTAATCTTCAAGTTACAATAATCTTTTATCATCAATCTGTCAGTATCTCTCGTTATATCTATATCCCAAAACCAAGTTCCTAGCCAAAATATCTATATACAAAAATGTCATTACATCCTATTATTCCACTCCCTTAACCTTAATCAACCTCGTAATACTCGTCCCATCCCCTAAAACCTCTACCTCCTCCTCCACCCTATACCCACCCCACCTTGGCAGTGCCCAAAAAACCAGCACCCACCACCCCACGCCAAAAAGAACAATACCCACCCCCACCACCGCATACGTCGCGTACCAAAACCCCACATCTGCATCCCCTTTCTTTGGCTTAAAAAACGGACCCGCTATCAACGCCAAACAAACCGTGATCCGGATCCAAACAGCCGGCAACCAAGCTTTAAACGGTCTTTTGAGATCGGGACGGGTATATCGTAGATATATGAGGCCGAGGGAAATGGCTAGAGCGGCGAATTGACCCGGATAGCCTTCAACGTCGAGGATGAAGTTGTAGACGTCGCCGCGGGGTGGAATGGCTATTACGAGGAAAGAGGGGATGTAGTGAACTATTAGGCCGCCGAGGGGAGCACCGAAAGGAGCGGAGGAGGAGAAATATTTGGAGTAGGGGAGGAAACCCTGACGAGCGATTTCTTGGTTGACGCGAGCCTGGAGGGAGGTTAGGTAAATTGTGATTTGGACGGAACCGCTACCACGAAGAGGAGAAAAAGAAACATCATGAGGAACTTACCAGTGTAAAAGTAACAACCATGACATTTCCCGCAGCACTAATCGCCACAGCCAACGGTAATAAAATGCGTCCTCCAATATCCCCAAAGATCCTCTCGAAAAATAACGCTGCAATGAGTTGTCCACTCTCCTTTACTTCCTCTAGCGGAACTACTGACAAGTACGCGAAATTGGCTAGTAAATACAACGAGCAAGCCGTGAGCAAAGCCGCCGGAGCAACCGTCTTCAGAGTTCTCACCGGATCCTTAACTTCATTCAGAACATTATTAAGATTTGAAAGACCCGCGTACGAATACGAGACTTTGAACACAGCCGTCGTCAACGTGCCCCAATGCCAATTCGAGCCCTCCCACAATCTTTCCCATGAAAAATCCTCTCGCGACAATGTAGGGATTGGGGCTTCGGTTTGTGGAAGGTTGACCCCGAACACTACGACGAAAATCCCGGTTAGTGCCATGAATAAAACGAGGCCTACTTTGATCCATCCTAGGAAATTCTGGATCCAGATTCCTGTTTTGAGAAAACATCCATGGACGATGGTGATGCAGGTGAGGAGGCCTAACGCGATGGCTTTCTGCCCCCATTCCGTGCCCTCGATTCCAAACGCAAAGAGTACGTACTCGCCAAAGACAATGCAATTGCTTGCCGTGAAACCTAGTAAGACTGCCTGTACAGCAACCAAGGTACTAGCCAAAAACCGCGGTCGTGGATATGTGAACTCGAGGTAGATCTTCTCGCCGCCCGATCTAGGAAGCATACAACCATATTCGAGGGAGATTTGAAGGCCCAGCCAAGCGAGCAGGGAACCGGCGACCCAGAGCAGAAGAGCCAGACCAATACTACCCGTGGTTTTGAGAATGGGACCCGGGGTTGCGAAGATGCCGGATCCAATGACTCGGGAGATAACGAGAATGTATGCGCTGGACCAGGAGAGGTTGCGGCCTAGAGTACTCGTTTCTGGGATGGTGTCATCTTCGATTTGGCGGGAGGGTTTGGAGGGCGGAGAGGAGAGTGAGAGTGAGAGTGAGAGTGAGTCGGTAGAAGTGGAAGTGGAGCGGGAAGAAAGAAGAGGCTCGGATTCGAGGGCTGAGGAGTCGGCGGAACTTGTCGCTGGTGACATATTGACGGAGTTTGAAGAACGGATCTACGGCCGCATTACTTTCATGTGCGGCTGCTGATTGAGAACTATTTTACTTTAGAATCATGAATCCTGCCATTTGATCGCAAGAATTTACACGGTATTGAGTAAATGGCTTGAAGATAATTCCGTTATCACGTTGGAATGTGATGACTCGGAAAAGAAAATCCAATATCTATCTATCCCCGACGATGAGCTCAAGAAATTTGGATGAACTCGATCAAGAACAGAACAGAACGAAACAAAACAATACACATCTATATTCAAAAATGAAATCCAAATTATGATAATCTTCTTCAAGATGAACTCTGCATTTTTAAACTATTGCTTTTGCCGAATAATTAACGATTGCGAGAGAGAGCGACAACTATGCTATCTCTCGTGTTTCATGCCCTCCCTTCCCCCCCTCCATTTCATCATCACATCATCTCACCATCGAAACCCAGCCATATCAATGATGCCATATGAACTACATAAGACATATTTTGTATGACATGACCCGCCACACAATATAATAGCATAAGTGTAGATCAGCTTCTATATATCATCTCATGCAATAATTGCGTGCTCTCTTATACTACCTCGTGATTCGTCGGAAATCGGCGGAGTTCTTGGATCCCTTGATGTAGGTTGCCTAATCTCTTATCTGCTTTTACTGTGAGATTTGAAATCAAATTTTGGTTGTTAATAGGTTTTGTTTGTTAGTTTGTTGAGATTTGGACCGAATTTGAGGGATGGGAGAGTAAATTAGTTCGAATCCTTTTCTGGTGCTGACGGCGGATGTTGTTTGAACTCCATTTTCCACCCCACGGAGTCCATTCGAAACATGTCATTGCGCCATTCCCGATTAACAAGCACAAGAAAGCGGGGTTGACGAGAGTGTCAAATGAAGATGTGAATACTAAATACCGGTATGCTTTGAAATCATATAGGATTATTAATTATTATTGTCCAGTTGGTACTCAAATATAGGACCATGTTGTTGAGATGAAAGAGTACTTATACTTGCAAATTCCCAGATTCATGTTGATAGTAGAACATCCACAACTTCAATAGAATCCTAATCACGAACTCAAATATATTTCACTGGAAATATAAGAAAGCAACATAAATCACTGACACAATGTCCACCACACTCACCGAACAAGCTCCCTCTGAGCACATCACCAAATTCGAAACCAACTCCACCACACCTCACGATATTCAAGGAGTTCTCAACTATTACCTCGACCCAGAAGATGGGAGCCCACCAGAGCCCAACTACGTGAACAAAGTTACCTCATATGATCGCCCTGTACACTCTGTTGAACTCACTGTCCACGATATCCGCGGCTCGGAAGATCAATATACATTGGATACCACTGGTTTCCAGGTTGTGAATCATGTTAGCCAGGAAAAAGATTTTGTGGATGAGGAAAAGATCAAGAATGATTACTATAAAGAGACAGAGGAGTTGTTGAAAAGAGAGTCAGTAGTTTATAGCCTACTCAGCTCATATTCAATGATGGACACATTACTTACAAAAAAATAGAACCGGGGCCTCCAAAATTTTCATCTTCGACCACACAATCCGTCGTGAATCTCTTGATAAGAGAGCTACAGCGCCTGGTTCTACTGAAACCGTCAACAATAACCCCGCCCCCGTTGGTATTCGTGGCCCCGTTCAACGCGTTCACATCGATCAATCCTATGCCGCCAGTCCCCGCCGCGTAACCCATCATCTTCCCGAAGAAGCAGAGAAACTCCTCAAAGGTCGTTTCCAAATCATCAATGTTTGGCGACCCATCAAGACAATTCTTAAAGATCCTCTTGGTGTCGCGGCTGCCAATTCGGTTAATGAGGAAGATCTCGTTCCTATCAAACTTATCTATCCCGATCGCGAAGGAGAAACCCTCTCTGTCCGCCATGCTCCGGGTCATAAGTGGCATTATTTGTATAAGCAATCGCCCGGAGAGGTACTCTTGATCAAGTGCTTTGATAGTAAGACTGATGGAAGAGCGAGACGTGTCCCGCATAGTGCATTTGTGAACTCAGAACATGAGGGAGGGGAGACGAGAGAGAGTATTGAGGTTAGAGCGTTGGTGTTCCATCCAGATGATACAGAGTAGGGAAGTGTTTGCAAGAACAACGAAAGGGTGGAGGCATAATACATCACTTGATCTATATGTAGGACTTTCTGCACACATCTAAATTGAATACTTTTTTTTAACCACGAGAAATATCATGAAATGATTCGCTGGGGTGTTGCTTCGCCGTTGAATGAATTTGAAAATCTTCTCGCTTTATGGCCGCCTATTCGAAAATGAAACGTGCAGCAAAGATTTGGACCGCGGATTCAATGTCATAGAACGAGTATTTGCGATCAGTGATTTGCACAACGGGTGATTGATTACCTTTGGCCACCGTAGAATTATACCCCTCACCTCGCCCCGCTATCTTGACCTCCGGATCATACTTCACTTGAGCACTACCTAGTAGCACCATCTAGTAGCTGCAATCGAAACCTCCCAGCTCAAAGAAAGCGATTTCCAACAGGACTAAGTAGTCCTGACGATTTGAAGGTACCGGTAGTAATTAGCTCAAACGAAGTCTGTACTAAGCCTGACTTGGTGGGAAGTGAAAGATCTACTATTGTCTCAGTCTGATTCTGAATATGCTGCGAAGAATATGCAGTATTCCAAGCTGTCTAAAAGGAATCCGGCCTATCTACCAAATATAGTGATACCCGTAGATACTGCCATGACAACGAGTTCTCTCCTGAAACCTAAGTCCTGATATCTATCTACTCGTATAACACCAAACCATACCGAATTCTGAAGACCTCTCCCGCCGAACCCAAGAAACCTGTTCCCCAACTCTCCATCCCCCCAAGTCCACCCAAATCATCACATCATAACATATTGTATCGCATTTACCTTCAACAGCCTTTCCTTTCTCATAAAAAATTCATTTCAGCTTTCGCTCTGATACTAGTAAACTCTCAAAGCAGATGGAATTAGAAGCTCCTCCTCCTCCATCTGATCTCCCCCAAAATCATTTTCTAGAGCAACCTGTGAATTTAATTTAGTTTCCTTGCTCAAACAAGCAGATCCAAAATGCCATAACGTCTATCTCCAATAGTCAACGATCGAGAATATATCATCCCCTGCCTCCTTACCCAAACGAGCATATAGACACCAAAAACAAGCCCCCTAGCACAGCTCAACCTGCGATATAGTAATAAAAATGATAATCAGATTAATAAGCCAAAATCCAAAAGATATTTTATAAACCAAAAAAATAATCAAGAAACATACAACAGCAGGGATTCGCTGGTGGTCACCCACCCAACTACTAATCTGCCGATCTAAGGCTTGTGTATGGCAGAGCGGACGGGATGCCCAATTCTCCTTAGTCTATGGTCGTATGTGACCGAATAAGTGTTATATAGATATATATATAATTAAAGTTGGAGGAGTAGAAATGGGTTTCATTAGATTTTATCCTCCTTTTCTTCGGGTGAGAAAGAAGGACGTCTTCGCTTAATTGGGATGGAGTATGGTGGGTACGCTGGGTTTGTTGTAATCTAGTGGAGTCTATGTGGATTTATCGATTGATTGGATGAGATCTAAGCTTATAATATGAATAGAATATGTATCTTGTCAAGGTATCAATGACCACCTTTTTGGAAAGCCCTTTCGACGAATTTGAACTCCGTCTCATACCTGAGGAGTCTAGCCCGGGTGCAAATAATGAGATGCTATTCACTAGTTACCTTCAGTATCCATCACGATTCATTGCTTGCAATGAGTGACTCTTCAATGATACAGAACAGAATGAGAAAGTATAGATTCTAGAACATCCTACGCGTCGTAACCCGAGTGATAAAGTATTTGGAAATGAAGTTGTAGTATAAAGGTAGACAACATATGTGCCCAATTCAAGGCGTAACGAAGATCAAACGTAATGCATGATATATATGGAATCTAATTAGACCTTCATTGCACGTTCGGATAAGTCTCGTAAGTGAGCAATTCTTGTTTCCAGTGAAAAGTCGCGGCGTGAAACGGTAGATTGGTTCAGTAACCCACTGAGTGCTCGAATGACTGTAAATCCCGGGTCTTGAGAATAGTGATCAACAGAATTTCGCAGCAAGGCGTTGAAATGGAGGTTAGATTATCTTCGGCGGAGGAATACACTATCAATTGTATTACTTTCAACGATTTGAGGAAGCTGGGTATGTTATTTGCATATGCTGAAAATGATTCGTCTGCTGTCGTCGAACTGGGAGATATGACTTCTATTCATGTCAACTTTGTCATTATTCTTAGATTGGCTAATTGTCTGGAGCCATAGCATTTCTATCCAACATGAGTGACCGACCTCAAGAGAATTTGGAGAAAGTTTACCCTCATAATCCTACAACGAATTGTAAGATACTAGATCAGTAGCGATTCAAAATATCAAGATCTAGATTGCCGCACACTCCTTTAATACAGTTGCATCAAAAGAATGACTCACGCGCCAAACCAATATCATGTACTTCGTTACAATAAAGCAAAACTTTACTTCCACATGAACGACGACACAGCACTGACAACAGTGTCCTAGACCACTCACTTCACAACCAAAGCCGCAACTTTCGGCATCGTTTCGATACCGATATCCTCATCTCATCCAAACCGGGACTGGTATTCATAAATCCTGATTCATCCAACACTCCAATTAACGATCGCCACTTGGCACTATCCTTCCTGTCACATCTCCGCGATGACTCCATACATACTCGATACGATCTCATCTCAGGTAGAAGGATGTGTAAAGCTTAAGTGGGATGACTAAATCCCATCTTCGCATCCAGACTCCAGAGTGTTCTATTTTGCTGTCCTTTTCATAAGGCTTATTTCCCATTAAGAAATGCTGTTATGCTGTTATGCTGTAATATCAAAACAGGATTCCCTCCAATTCAGACACGAAAGTTATCTGAGAGTCTTCCTTAAAAATAATTCATGATTCTCGGTTCTGTCTCCAGGTCTTGAAGGTCTCCTGTTTTGGAGGGGTATCGAATATACAGTACATTTCCCCGAGAACAAGATGAAAAATGCCCCCATTATGAATTCGTTTGTAGTTTGGTGGTAGAAGCTAGACGCTACGAAACGAAGCGAAATGAATTAGATGAAAATATCTCCGGGCTAGTCCCTGCGGCCGGATGGGGAAAGTGTTGAAGTGGAGACATTTTCTTGGAACGTTGGGAGGGAAGCTGAAGGGATCATTTGTGCTCAACTTGATGGATTAGGTAGTAATGAAAAGTTCATGTAGAAGGAAGAAAATTAATGAATCAGCTGGAAATAGACATGTCGATGAGCGTTTCGCCAAAGTAAATCACGATTGTGATACTGTAGCGACAACAATCACAATCAATCATATTCTACCTAGGCTCTAGCTTTTTTCCTTAGCGCTTCCAATCCGCCTTACCAAATGGACCCTACCAAATGATCTCCGAAAATAAAGTCCAAACCATTAATCAGTTACCAAAAACAGCCATTGGATTCAACGGCTAGAAATGATATTACCGTAAATATTCTTAAAGTTATAAGTTCCTCATCATCTATTCATTTCCATGAAACTTGCAATCAATTCTTTGGCCTGTCTGTACTCGGAAAGGCTGCCATATAAAGGATTGGTACTAATCTTGGCAAAAACGAGATTGGGTAAGGATGTTGGCGGGTGGAACTACTCCATAAAGGCTGAATTTGAGGATCAGGCGATGTTCTGGATGGTTTCATAGATGAGATGAAATGAATTGAACCTGTTTTCCGAGACGGGAGGAGGGGAATATGTCTGAGACATAGGTAATCTTCGAATCGAAACAGTTCCCGACTTTTCAATTGGAGAAGTGGAGAGCGCGTAGCTGGGCGTTTAAAATCTAGAACTATCTTGCCATGAAGATATATTATTCCATGCTCTGGGTTATCAGTCCGGGGTGTTTGATAGGCATTTGGTACTTCAGGGGTAAATAACTTTTGTGCAGGGAAAAAGCTGGGAAGGGAGAAGATTGTTATTGAGCATAAGATTACGGTTTATGCAGGCACAGTTTCAAGAACGCGCCATACTTTGGAGCAAAGAGCTGTGCGTGTGGTGTTGTGGGGATGAGATTGGATGATTGATGACTCGCCCAGGGAGACTTTTGGGGTTCGATCGTTGATACAGCGTCTGATGTGCTGGTCACTTGTGCTGAAGAAGAATGAAAAGATTATGGCAGACGAAGAATTTATATGTGCCGTAACCTTATGATCGGACTTTTTATAAGGATAATTATGAGAGATTAGATTTCTGCTTTGTCTTATAACCTGGATGCATAATCAAAACGGAGTGCCGAACACTGCGTTGATACATCAATTTTGAAGCTTCCGATGTCACAAAAATGATGGCTGAGTTAAAAGAAGTAAGAAAAGGGGTTCGGTCGAAACAGTAAATGGTAACTTTCGATGAAGGGGCTTGAATCGCTTGATAATTGACAGACTGCACAGTATCACCAACCGATCAAACCCTTCAACCATTAGGCCATGTGTTTTACTCATGGAGTAAAAAAGATACCACCTGTACTGGAATACAGACAGTCATATGAAATTGGAGGTCGTACACTTGGCCCTCTTGGTTATCATTTGCTGTACAAAAAAAATCAATTATGAATCATGATTAAAAATCCAGGCACATTGCATAGAAGAAGTATGTATGAACACTTTTAAGATATCTAAATCTGATATTCTCTTCCAATCGAACAAGAATCAAGCTGTTTAATTTCCGAAATGCTGTAACTGAGTATGAAAGTCGTCATCAAATGCATTGCCCATTTGGCCGGTTAATCTGTTCGGGGAATACGTGGTTCTACTGATTGATGAGATGAGATTCTGTCGTGGTATTGTACATAAATTGCGCGCATATACATTAATTGAATAATCCACAATTCATGTTTTCATAGACTTCTTCCATCTGATTCGATTTCAAGATCTAGAAATAACAACTAGAGAAGGCTCAAACGAATATCGTATACAATTGAATAGACATACTATATCTGTACTATATCTGTAATACTGGATGAACGATTCATTCCATCTTCATGAACATCATCCCAAAGTTCCATTCAATTCAAAACCCATACCAAAAAAGGAGAAGCTAGAATCTTGCGATATCAACTCAAGCTTTTTGGACGAAATAATTCAATGGACCTGACTAGCTCTTAGCTCAGACTAGATCATGATCTAGCGTCCGTTTGTTTGTGCGGGAAATGGTACGGTTTCACCAACACCACCAATGAAGCAAGCCAACCGAATCCTCTGAAACGAACATTGATTCCCTTCAATTTCTCTTTGCTTGCTTGGACCGGTTTCTTCGACCATTAGGAAGCTAGAGATTTTTATGAGAATCATGAGAATTATGGATCGAATCATCTAATCATCTTATTGTGGAACCCGCTAATGTTTTATACTTCTAGCTAGTCTACTTGTATTCTTTAAGTAATGATTCTTTTCTAATAATCAACATCAATTTTTATACAATAACAATCCCTATCCCCCCTATCTGATTGGAACAACGTATAGAAAACAGAATAGAAAACCTCAAGAGCCTAAAAGTCAAAAGTAGCTATCTAATCATTATCAAGAATTTTTTCGTATAATAACACTCTGTACTGTATATATCATATCGTATAACCAACCCCTGAACCAGAATCCCACAGCCTCTCACAATCGAGAGATCCTCCAAGCTTTTCTTTTCATCAAGGTTCCCATATTCAAGGGTTAGGTTGCGGTGAGATCCTCCTGAACCTGTACCTGCATAGACCCATGTGGCCATGGTCATGGTCATTGAACCGCCTTGCCTTGCTGCAAAAGGCTTTTCTTTTCTTTTGCCCACAAATAATAATCATATTTCTATGGTGCTATGCAAAGTAAGCAAGCCATACAAACAAACTCTTCCCAGTAAAATATTTGGAAAGGAAACATGGGATAATCAAAGCAATCCAATCCCCTCCCCTCCATCCATGCCATATAATATTTCGCTTATTAAATAATCCATCCATCCCACTAATCCAGGGGTGTTCCACTAATTTAAAGTGTCCACCCCGTTTGCCCATTTCCTTTTCCTTTTCTTTCCCATAGTATAGCGACTCCTCATCATTCCACTTTCTTTAAAAGATTCCCATACCCTCCTTTTTATCCCCCTTCAAGATCTTCCTTGATCACTACACACAGTCTTTACCAAGTCACTTTTTGCACCTAAAGAAGAGTTATCTTTCTCTCTTGTTTCCAACTCTACAGTCATTCTTTACCTTGAGAGCCAGCATACACTTATCTTTTTTGCGGAATCGACTTTCGCTCTTTTACTACACACTACCAACCAACGATCTATCACGACCAATACAATACATAAAAGAACAATTTAAAAGCAAATCAAGCACATTTGGGTACATAGCAATTCTTCTTTGCATCTTCAGGAAATAGGATAGCATTGATTGCTTGGGAACATATCGGAACAGCAAGGAACATATCATTTACGAAGAATCTAGACATACATAAAATCCACCGATATCCATCACGATGCAATTCACCACTATCTCCATGGCCCTTTTGGCCGGAGTGGCTTCCGCGACTCAAGGTCACTACCACCCAAAGCGTGTCAGCAACGGTACCATCTCCGCTACTGATGCCGGACAAACCACCTTGACTGTCTTCGCAACCACCATCCGAACCATCACTTCATGCGAGGCATCCATTACCAATTGCCCAGCTCGAGCCACATCCTCCGTGGCAGGTGTTTCGACCCCCGCGGTCATTATCGTCACCGATACCGTTACGTTGGCAACAACCGTTTGCCCAGTCGCCGAAGCCGAATCTGCTAGTTCTGTTATCACGAGCAAGCATTTGACATCTGCCCTCGCATCTCTCTCATCGGAGATCGCAAAGGCTGCCAGTGGTGGTTCTTTCTACGGTGCTACCACCACTTCAGCACTTCCAGCTTCTTCGAGTGCTCTTGGTGTTTCTACTAGCTCAGCTGCTTCTGGTTCGGCCCCTCTTCCAACAGGTGCTCTTGCATCTTCATCTGCTCTTGGTCTTGAAGTCAGTTCGTCCGCTGCCGGAGTCGTCCCATCGGGTGTCGCTGCTCCATCAGGATCTTCTCCATCTGGTGTAGTTTCCGTTCCAGTTGCATCTGCCTCTGTTCCAGGAGAATCTGCATCTGTTCCAGCAGGATCCGCATCTGCCCCAGCTTCCGCTTCAAGCGCAGCAGGTCTTGAGACCAGCTCAGTTGTTCCAGGTGTTGCCGCTCCATCTGGATCTTCCCCATCATCAGTTGTTGTTCCTCACGGAACTGGTGTCGTTTCCGCAGTTCAAACTGTTACCGCCAACGCTAGCCACACTTTAACCTACACTCTCGGATCCGGTTCATCGACCACCGTTGTCACCACTACCATTTTTGAGACTTCCGCTTCTACTGTCTACGCCACCATTACTCCAACTCTGACTGTTGCTGCATCATCTGAGGCTGGTGTCGTTTCTGCTGGTGCATCCACAACCTCCGAAACCACCACCGTTTACGGTACATCGACCTCTACCCGCTACGTCACCGTCTCAGCAGTTGCTGCTACTGGTGTCTCTGGTGTAGTTTCCGCCGTTGCATCTGGTGCTGGATCAGCTTCCCCATCTGCCACCGCTGGGTCATCTTCCGGAATTACCTCTGGATCTGGCTCTGGTTCGTCTGATAACTCTGGATCTGGTTCATCTGGATCCGAGACTTGTGCTTGTGTTGACGCCGCTACTGTTACCGTTACCGCCACTGTTGCTGCTCAAACCGTCACCGTCGTAAGTTTTTACTCATCTGATCTTTGTAAAACACACAATTCTAATAAATATCTCTAGACCGCTGGATCTGATGCTGCCCCCCAAACTGTCACTGTTGTAAGTTTTCACTCATTTTATCTTTTCAGGATGCCCAAATCTGACAAATATCTCTAGACCGCTGCATCTGAGGCCACTGGTGCCATCTCTGGTATCCAAACCGCCATTATCTCCACCTCTGATGTCGCAGGAGCTTCTGCCACTGATGCTTCCATCATCATCAGCACCGCCACTGTTATCCCAATCCCAGCAACCACCGCCGCCATCACATCCGTTCCATTCTACGGTAACGGAACTGACGTCACTTCCACCAAGAAGTCCAAGTGCGCATCTTCTGGTTTCTTGACCAGCTTGGCCACTGGTGCTGCCAAACCAACTGGTGCTAAGCCAACTGGTTACTAAATTCTAGTTCCTGGAACTCGACTTGAGTAACTGCTTCTTGACCGTGAAGTAAGTGAATTGAGTATGAGAGAAGATGAAGACGTGGAGGTTTCTTTTGTTACTTACTTGTACATTTTTTTTTGCGGGGAAATATGATGAAGGTGTTGAAGATTAGGGGACAGCTAAAAGATGGGGGGATTGATGTAAGGGATTGATATCAATGAAGACAAACAAACCAAATACCTTCTTGTGCATTCTTTTTAGAATTGGTTTTTATCTATGCGTTCGCTTGTGGTTTATCGAGTATTTTGCTTGCTTGTATGTCTTTGGTCATCAGGTTATGGCAGCCCAACTAACATGGAGTTTCTTGTATATGATATCTTTTGAGGATTTAGGAGGATAGGATTTTGGCATGAGCGGCAAATTTACAGACTTATGAATGTACACTTTGCGTGTGATTGTTTTTCAATCCTATCCTTTTGTCTTCTTAAAAAGTATGGACTGTACGGAACGAAATGGACAATTGGGAGAATGCAATACTAGCTAGCGTGCTCCTTGGCACAATATTATGTTCTTGTATATAGCTTAGAATAAATTCGCGATGCTATGTTTTATGAATTTGATGTTTTTGGGGACTTCGAATGAATGGATGGGATGAATATGTGGATGCATGTGTGAATTGTATTGTTGTGAATCGATCAAAAATAAAATGTCTCCAGATGAGGATCTGAAGGTGTAGAACACTTGTTGTGGAATATATACGAGTATATACCCAGAGCTATACTGAGTAGATCAAAATGATAATATCAACAACTTATCATGATGAGCTCCTCCTGTACCTGCACGTGAAGGTTGCATGTACCGGGTCTTTCGATATGCCACGGTCTCGGATTTCCACGCGTATACAAAGAAAGGATTTGGGAGGCGGGGCCGATTAGGTGGTGATTGATTAACTATTCCTTCGTGGATAGTATTGTGGTATCGAGGGATCTCGACTTTGGTTATTTAGGTATCTCATATTGAGAATGTTGTACTCAAGTACATACATACTAACAGTATATATTGCCCTCTCACATTCAGAATATTGTACTAACAATATTCTGATCCCATCATCAGATTCGTAATTATTTGTTGTTAGTCCTAGAGTCTACTTTCCTCCCTGTCACTGCAAACGATTCCCTCTATCAGCACTTGCGTTAATTTCAAAATTGCATATGTTTTCGGCCATACTCGTATACCGAAATGAATAAGAAAATGAATATATCGGGGATCAAAATATGAGTACTGAGATTAGATAGATGAATTTGGTGCTTGATGACGAAATGGCTCATACTCCCTCCCTCCTCGTGGCCTGGACCTCGGAGTATGTGACAGAGATTTGTTGGAAAGTAAGACATTCTGTTGTATGTCGTCGTAGATGGATGTACTCGTAAAAGAGAGAGATAAAGAAATGATTGAAGAGATATATAATCTCTAATACTGTAGAGTAGAACAAGTGATACTCGATCATTTGATAATAGATGATTATATACTATACTGTATTGTATTGTAATTGAATATGAATCTAATTATTGATATTTGAATGAAATGAAATGATTTATTTGTTTCTTATTTTCCTTCTTTCTATATGATTCTTTCTTTCCCTATCAGTAAGCAAAAAAGCATAATCATTCGTTTTCAGCCAAGCCTAAACGGAAAGCCCAAACCTACCGAGATGAGAACTCCTTGGGGATGTTTTCATCTTCTTTCGCATTGTAACTTAAACCACCATGATTTGACTCGACTTGACTCGACTCGAATGAAAGAACCATTAACTTTTATATTTGATGCTTTCGACTTTTCGACTTCGAATCAACCTCTTCATTTACTTTTCATTGTACCACGACTTCATTCAAGTGAATTACTAGTATTATCATAACCTACCTATCTTACATTGCATTGCATTACATTACATTATCCTCAATCTTTGGGAAAGCGGGTACGAAGATTACTTGTACTCGTTCATAATCATTCTCTATTGTATCTACTATACTACTTTCTTGGGACTTTTGGATTCAGACAAATATCCCTAATCAATTTCAAAGAATTCACCTACCCCGAAAAGCTCATTTGTGAATCAAATCAAATCATATTACTGCTGTACATTTATCAACAATAGCAGCAGCAGCAGCAGCAGCAGCAACTATCAGCATCTGCCTGCATCTGCGAGCACTCTCAACTTCATCCTCGATAAACCCGCCACCCCACTCAAATACCCCAACCATAAGTTATACATAATGCGTCGCGCATCTGCAGACATGAGCGACCCCGATCGTAACATTATGGAATCGACCGGCATGCCAGAAGATACCGCAGACCTCGATCTCATATCCGAGAGAGAGGATTCCCCCTCGAATCGAATCCACACTCCACCACCACGCATCGCAGCAAGATTCTATCGCCCCACCAACAATCGACGTAAATCCTCGGCTGCATCCTCGAGACGAAATTCTATATCTTCAGTTCAATCACATGGCTCAAGTCGTCATGGCGGACATGCCGGTATGGCTGGTCCGCAGAGTAATCATATTGCTCAACATTTACGCAGAGCGAGTATTCTTGAGGACCGAAAGGCTAGATTGGCGGATAGAGCTGCGCATGCGGAGAAAGTTCGATTGAGGGCTGCATTGGCCAAAGCGGCACCGAGGAGTACTACAAATACGGAGGAGAGAGCATTGGCAGCTCAGCAAGCGAGGGAGAAGAATTTGGCGGAGATTGTTGCGAGTTGTGCGGAAGAAGTTAAGAGGGCAAAGGGGATCGCAGAAAGTATGAAAGAGAGAAGGGAGTTGGAGGGGAAGAAGCTGAGAAAGGAAATGGAAGACAAACTTGCGGAGGCTGAAAAGAGGAGAGAGGAAATCTTGAGTCGAAATGGTATTGGCAAACGAGGAAGAAGCTTGAGTAATATGAGAAAGAGCTCGAGTCCAATTCCAGTGACCGAGGTCAAGAGGACACCACTTACCGAGTCAGCGGCAGCAAAAAGAATTCAGACTAGATGGAGGATTCATAGACGTTGGAAGGCACTACATGCTTTTGCAGAATTGGGGCTCACAATCGATGGAGTACGAGAAACTTCTTTCGAGGAAGTGGTTGATTTATTGGCACAGGAGAAAGTTCTCGTTAGTACGGCACATATCCTAAGAATCTGTGGACTCAAAGAAGGAGAAAGTGGATCGGTCAACGAAATGACAGCCGTCCGAACATTTCTCAGCGCTTTCCTTATCCTTGGTCACCCTACACAGGTCTTGAGTAGTAAAGGTGATAAAGGAGAGCAGGAACAGGTAGGAGCGCAACTGATGAAGAGGGATGATTTGGCTAATCCTCAATTACAGGACCTCGTTGCAAAAGCCCGAGATCTACTTATTTCTTTTGAAACCGTCTTGTCTAGGTTGACAACGGCGAACAATTATACCCCTCCTCCTGCTCAGTTATCGACATTGTCGGAAGTTTATGCAACGTTCTTCAATGCATTCATTGCTTGGAAATCCAGAGATGCGAGTACACTTATTGATATGATGGTTTTGCAGTTTGTGGAATTGGATTCGATATGGCAAACTGTTAAGGATAGTACAGAAGAAGCCGTCACTGATTCATATCGTGATGGAATTAGAGAGAATCAACTTAAACTGATGGTCAGAATCAAACGACTCGCTGGACCCGCTCAGGGGAAGCGATTGATCGCAACTGCCATTCGAGAAGCAAGGAAAGTCAAACAGGTCAAGCAGCCCACTGGAGATTCGAAACCCCGTGCAACAGAAACCGGATCAGCATCTCCTGTTATCGAAGATTTTAATGCTTCCGATGCTACCGTTACATCTCATTTACAAACTCTTACACCGCCTGCCACACCGGTCAAACAACGCCGTGGACAAAGTACTGATGCGGATAACTTACGATCTGTTAACTCCATACTCCCGAACAACCGAATCTTGGTTCATGAATTGGCCATTAACAAAGAATACCGTATCTCAATGGAAGACTGTCTTCAGCAACGAGGTGTCGTTAATCAACTCATCTTCGATTCCATGAGACAAGAAGTTGCAGCTGGAAATAGTGATCCTTGGGTTCTTGTCATGGCCGATAATATTAAGGGAAAACTTCAACGTCTTCTTACTCCTGGGAATTCAATGTACAAACTCATTGAAGATTCCCTCGATACAGATCTGGTAGCATCAGAGCTCAAGAATGGCCGATTTTCATACGAAATTTTCTTCAATTTCATGGGTAATATTCTCCCTCGTCTATGCGCTCCTTTCCGAGACGATGAGGTCAAAATTCTTGTTGAGACTACTCTCAAAGAGGGTGATTTTGTCGATCGTCTTCAATCATTGATGCGCTTCATTGATTTAATGCAACTCGACTATGCCAATTTTATGCTTCAACAATCAGCTCCTGAACTTATCAAACATGCTTCCACATATGAAACTAAACAGTTCTCGGAAGAGATGGAAGAAACCAATAACGATCTTACCATAACCACAACAGCCTGGCGCGAAGCTCGTCAGAAAGTCTTTGCCGAAGCAGCTCGTCGAGATCCCGAAAACATTAGCTTACCGAGAAACAGACCTACGCCAGAGAAGACCTACATTCAGATGTTAGTGGATATATGTACATCTGCACCAGGGATCCCGGTGCCAGAAACCTTGAAGCTGGACATGGGAAGGATTGAGATGGCTAGGAAAGATTCTCTCCGTATCGTCACTACTTCAGCAATTCTTCTCCAGGTTAAAAATATCCTCAAGCGAGATGTGAGGAGTCAGTGGAAAACCGAAGCTTCAAGACTCTTTTCCGTACTTGAAAATTCCAAGGAGTCAGAACAAGCGGAACAGGGCATCACGGCCGCATTGGAAAGTAGTAGGAGTATGCCCATGGCCACCAAAAATCACATTCGCGAATTAGTCAAGAGGATTGTGGCTGCGGCTTCGGCTGCAAGTTCTAGTGAAGGAGAACTCCGTGAACCGGTCATGAAACTTTTGATGGCTAGATTAAGGGGTTATCTAATTCAAAGATTGGCAAAGGAGAATCCAAGGAATGATGGGAATGGTAATGAAGGCATTGCAGGATTGGGTATGCCAGAGTTTGTGGCGAAGATTGGGGGGATTGTGGAGGTTATGGGGAAGATGGGGAGAGTAGATAAGGAAGCTCATGGAATTTGGTATGAGGTTGTTGAGAAAGCGGCTGCGGACGAAGCTTGAATAATGAGTTGAGGTTGAGGAGGGCCGATTTGATTTCATACGAAGCGCTTTCTGGTTCCTGGTTGGGTGTATATCTTGTTCTGTTATTTTCAACAGGCGTCCTGGTATTTCAGATGAGAATTCTCGGCGTACGTCTGTTTTCGGAGCGGGTACTTTGATTTGATACAAGCACTTGGTGTTGGTGTTGGTGACCTGGGGTATTTCCTCACTTGCTTCTGGGATGGATAGGATATTATATCAAGGATGGATGGATGGATATGAATTATGACTTGCTTTATTTACTTGGCTTTTGGGGGTTAATGGATGGATAGGGAGATTGATAAATACAGCGGAGCGGGACTTGGAACAGTTCTTTGTTTTATTCTGTACATGGTAGATATGATCCTCTCAGGATATATTCATTCACGTACGTTATTATGGTGGATAGTAGCGTAGTAGCGATAGCAGTGATAGCATAGAATGGGATTTATTTGAATTTGATTAGTGGATTGGGATTGAAATTCGAATTTGAAATTGAAAGCGACCAATTAATCAATCAATATAATACAAGCAATACTCGATATAATACAGCAATACAGTGTATAATGTCTGTAACAGCAAAATACTCTTTCCCTCATTTGCTTAAACAATGAGGGAGGGAATCTCATCAGTGTGTGTTTTGAGAAAAGGAGCAAACATACATCGAGCTATTACGTAAGGTTAATAGTTTTAATCATTATCAGAAGATGAGATGGAGACAATTACGAGTAGTCAGCTTTAGCTATTAACCTTAACCTTAGAGTCTCGGTTTTCCTTATGTTAACGTTGCGATGTGGTCGAGTCGCGTCCATGTTGTTTTGTTGTCTCTATTATTATTACTATTATTACTATTGGTTATTCTTGCATTGGCAGTGCAATTACTTTTATTGTAGGATAGAATGGGATAGCATAGAATAAGGATAGGATAGGATAGGATTGCTTCGCTTCGCTTCAAGCGTATATATGGTTAAGATTAAGATTAAGATTACTATTGCTTCAAGTTGCAGGTATTAACTATAGATATAACTATAGATACAGCAGGAATCAGGATACAGCAGGTGCTCCTGAGTGAGTCTATCTGGAATCTGAACTCCATTCGCAATACAAGTACAATTTCTCGAGTTGTGTCATATGAGAATTTTTTTCTTTTATTACTTACTTTATTGAGCTTATGTTATTTATTTTATTTATTTATTTATTTGGGAGGCTAGGAGGCTCTGCGGTATTGGGATTGGGATTGGGATTTTAAAGTTGCTGGGTGCTGGTTGCTAGTTGCTTGTATCTGATGGTATAGTATGATATGGTTTGATATGGTATAATATGGCATGATATCAAATCTAACGCTATTCGGAGGAGGGAGTAATGGTAATGGTAATGGTATAGTAATACAGTAACGGTAATAATAAACTCAAACCCAAACACAAGTGGAGTGCGGGGAGTGCAGGGAGGATCGAGATTACAGACTAGAGATTGAGGTCTTAGAGATTGAGGTATTAGAGGAAGAGGAAGAGGAAGAGGAAGAGGAAGAGGAAGAGGCGCTGTGGTTGGATTGGATTGGATTGGATTGATGGATTGAGTTTTAACTTTTGAATATTGATTATGATTATGTTGTTCTTGTACTTGTGTATATACGAGTTGAGTTGTATGCATGAGTAGGTAAAGACTTTGGATGTCTTACTTGAGTATTGTACTTATCTTCGGTGTGTTTATTATATGTCTAGGATATAGGATATAAGATATAAGTTTTGGTATCACCTCGGGGGTGAAATGGCTATACCATATGGTCAAAAGTATTGTATTAAAAGTAGGTTGAGGCTATTCCCACTTCGAGAGCGGGGAGGCCTATATGGCCAGATATCACGTGACCATATTCACTAGTATCGCAACAATAAGTATAGCTGGATACTTAATTTTGTGGATTTATTGATTTTGATATTATATTTATTCGATTACTCGTCTGAGATTTTCGAGCTTGTCACTGCAAGAAGTGGAATTATTTATGATAGATAGATAGTAACCTTATGGTACTGGCTGGGAAAGTTTTCTCTGTTGATGCCGGTATACTGACCCAGCGAACCGACGTTTCTGAAGTTATCCGGTTTTTTGACTGGATTATGGTGCACGAATATAGAGGAGGTTTTCCCTTCGTACATGAACTATTGATCTCCCAGTTGATACAGTTCTCTTGCTCTTAGAGTCGAGTCATTATTATGTGTCTCCTTATATTTAAGACTGTGTTTTGTCCCAACTCATGAGTAACGTATCTTTCGTTGACAATCAACGAGTCACATCACTTCCCATCAATCATTCTCATATTCTCAACCCACCACCATGTTTCTGTTCATAGCAACGGTATTATTCGCCGTCTTGCCTTTCAGTCCGGCTCAATCCTCATGTAATCTTACTATGTCTAATGGAATTTCCTGGGCTGGCAGTGGTAGCACTTCAAGCTGCTCTTCTTGAGATCGGGAAATACCTTGTGGGACCGACGCTACCTGCTTCCACAATGCAACACCGATGTCAGTGCTAAAAGGTATGCTATTATAAGCAAACTAGCAAGCCCAGTGCAATATTCTTGGAGGAATCACCTGTGACATGAAGATAAAGCTAAGAACGTGTGATAGTTCACTCGTTCGATCAGTGGAACCTACTACGAATATACCGATGGGTCATTGTTCCGCTTGAACCGAAGCACTGGTGGGCTCTCCTATAATGCTCATACATAAGAACCCCAGCTCCCGCAAGATTGATATTAAAGATTGAAGCTGACTTGGTTTCATAGGGGATTTTGGAATTCTAAATCCTGGCGAATATCCAGCACTGGATGGATTGCATATAATAGTTTTGGATGCGACTGCTGAAGCTCGGGTAGTGGCATAATGACTCCAAGCATAAGAATAACCAACCACTCACTTCATGCTACCGCTACCACTGATTCCTCAAATTCGTGAAGCATAAGAGCTATCGCTAGTACTAACTCAGCCTCTTCTTCCACAAGCCCTGCTTCAGAAGATGTACATTCAGATGTTAGGAACCTTAAAGCTCGATTTGTCATGGGAATTTTGGGCGTGGTGGTGGCATTGATGCCGTGATTAGATTTCATTTAGCCACTGGAGGAGTATGGATTGACATGTACAACGCAGCCGACTTTTGTATATGAGCATAAATACACGAACAAGATAATTCCAAAATGATCGCCTAAAAGCAATGCAAATTTGAGGAATTATATGCCTGTATTCACTGTGAAGATTGCCCATCATTGATCTCGCATCTACTTCCTATGTGTACAAATCTTGGCACTTCGTGGAAGTTTCTCCATTGAGTTGATCTACTCGAGTGAATTACAATTCATTCCGAGTTCATTACTACCAATATAAATCTCCTCCATTGCATTGTTCTCAATGCCTTTTTTGCTACATTTCACCGATACCTCTAGGCATAGACTCTGTCCATCAGATTAGCCAACATCTGTCGTTCCACAAGTCAAACTTTCTCTCGCTTCCGCAACCGCATCGCTCGACTTTAGTCGGTGCCCCTGGACTTTCCCTCATTCATGGAGCGGGTGAGAGTACTCACATAAGGTGATCATGTCAAATGCAAAAAGAAAGCTCAGAACGATAACGGAAAATCAGACGCCGCAATATCTAAATTAGTCAGCCAGCTAGCTGTTCCTAAAAAGCAACTTCATTCTATTTGTTATTGGTACTATGCCTCTCTCTTTTTAGTTGGAATATCAGCCGCTAGTAGCTTACTTGATCAGTGCTTTGTTCTTTTAATGCAAGTCGTTGTGAATTCATAATTATTTGGATTATTAAATTTCAGATAACTTACTATATGCTCTATATGCTAGACTGCATGGCATTATTATGCGACTAGGAATACCACACCTGCAGATTCCGGTCAAAGCATAGGTGAGTGTTATATCCCTTGCCTGCTGCCCAAAAATTCATGTGCCAATAACGGGGTCCAGCAGAACGGTTAACAGAGGAGGGCGGCTCAGGGCATAGAGGTCTCGGCAATTTTAACTAAATCGCCGATGAATGAGCGTCTTGCGTTTGCAAACGGAATATACCCATTTTATTCGCCAACCACTCGGCTAAAGTGAACCTCCAGGCCTTAGAGAAACGCCTCATGGTGCAGATAGCCGTGAGGATCTACATCAAATAAACAACAAGCCTGGCATTATCCAGTCTTTCTTAGATTTTCAACAGAAAGATGCTTGCAGCAAAGCAAACAGTATTCACCGTTTTTTACTTCTATACGATTCATACGGGATGTAACCTAAATATGCGCACTGCTCCGGAAATTTGAGGCGAGGTAATGGGTGATAGAGAGTTGATGTTGATTCGTCATACATGAGTTGAGTGTATACAGCCAGTAAGATTTTCTGAAGCCTCACCGGCAACATACATTCCACGAATTTCACCCAGCATCTTCACACGTAAATCGCGGAGCTTTTACTCCAGAGTCCTAGTTTTGAGGATATATCTTGACCTTTCTTCCCACTCCTACTAAATTCTTCTTTCCTCTCAAGTCACCTTCTTTACAGATAGCATACACACATACTTCACACATCAGTCAATCAAATACGTGAGTGATCTGTTCTTCAATTGCATACTCACCGATTTCAACTCTGTCTTGACATTTCATCTTATACACCTTCTTTGTTTTCTTATATCATTTTAGTCGCTCAAATCTATTGCAAAGCCATTGCCATATGTAATTACTGACTTCCTGATATTGTAGTCAATCTTTCAATCCCAAACCACAACGAAAATCCATCATAATGTCTGGCAATATGACTAAGGAGGATGCTTCCCGAATCCAATCAACTCAAGTACGTCTCATATCTTCACCCCTCCCCGTTCACTGTCCTATACTAGCACTGTCCTATACTAGCAATGGCAACGTAAACTAATGGAACTTTTGCAACAGGCAAAGGGCGAAAAAGACATGTCCTCTTCTGGCTTTGCGGCACGTGCACAATCTGCCGGTGACCGCACCAGCACTGCTGGCGCTACCACAGCAGCTCAAGGTACTGGCTCCGCTGGAAATACCACTAGTGGAAATGCAGGACAAGCCGATGCGAACAAGAAGTAGAGTAGGATGGAGTTGACAATCAAGCTCATTACTTCGTTCTGATGTCGAACGGAAAGTTTGGTTGACGGTCAACTTGTTTTGCTGAGTGCTTGGGGAAAATGAAATGAGGTATGGATGGGTTGGAGAAGTGATGGAAAGTTGCTGGGTTTGAGAGTTCAGCAGTTCATTCTGAGAAAATAATAGCTCAATATGGTTGCTATCATGCTGTGACCTTGTTTGATTCTTTGGAAGTGATGAGACGATTCAGATTTGCCAGTTATTCCACCCTTTTTAGTCTGGCAGTGTAATGCTCTGCCCTTCCCATGTCTTTGAAACTTCAAGTGAAAGTATAATAAGCTAATTGGAATATCTATCTCCTCAAATACATGGCACTTTGTATCTTTCTTTCACAGTCTCCATACGACAATTTGAGCATAGAATACTGGATATTTGTTCACTTCTTTTTGAGGATTGAGAAGCTGAATAATCTGGGTGTTGCATTGAAGTTAGCAAACCGTGAGGGTTTTTATAGAGTAAATGCGTTCAAGCCCCTCACTTTATTCATCCATCATTCCCATCAACACATAACAGACACTACTCTTCAACCCCACAACAATTCTCTATGATTTACTCCAATATTCCCTATAAAATTCTCATCCTCGGCATAAGAAGGATTCCTTTTCTTCCTAGATCTGCCAATTCATCATTCAAAAATAGTTTGGGCTTCTTCAACTATGCTTTCGGAGCTGTCTCCAAACCCCTATCCCATCTTCTCGTTTTCTCATCACAAGGCACAACTATTGCTCAAGTTTTCGATAAGACTTGTCGAAAAGGACGTGATAGAGTTGAGATGAACTTCAAAAGGACAGCAAGATAGTTTTTGAATCTTAGAACAAGAGCATAGATGTGAGCTGAGATGACAACACAAAAATAAAAGCAATGACAAAGTTTTCATTGACTCTCAATTTCGTATATTTATAACATTCTCAGGTCCATATATTGAACAATAACGTATCCCTATTTTCCAAAATATATTGCAAAATGAAAGATGAATTCTCAGTTCTAAGAAAAAGGCTCATTACCCTACCTTGACCCTTCCCTGAGTGCTCTATTAGGTTTCTGGAATAATATGAAGAGTTGGCCTTCATTTATCGCAGTCCGACGGTTCGATTATGCCTCTAATACGTGATGGGAGTTGACAAGAATGACAGGACATCTAGAACACTGTATTTTAGTAATCATATTACCTATCTGAAAACAACAATCTCGGTGCCTTGGGATTAGATTACAGGCTCGGGAGCTGCACCAGAGAGCCGCATTCTTGCACTGTGCCGGGATAGAAAAGGGAGACTATGTCTTTAATAATAGGAACGATTTAAGATATACGATAAACAACGACGGTGACCGTCTATTTTACTCTCTTTTCCGACCGGTACACACTTACACAACTCCTCCACTAGGTTCTATTTCATCACGTGGACCGCCTCTCTTCACCATGGCACCCGATCAAGCCGTTCTCGATGCCTTTCTCGATGCCTGCTTCGCGGGTGAGCTATCAAAGACCCAGGAAACCATCGCCAGCGGCCAACTCACAGTCGAGAACCTCGACGAGGGACTCACTCCGCAACCGAAAACGCGAACTCCGAAATCGTAGCCGCGCTCTTCAACGCTGGTGCTCTTGTATCAGCTTCGACTGTGGAATTCCTCTCTGGGCGTCCGCAGCACCCGGACGTTGTACACCAATTCCTCGAACATGGTCTTGATCCCAATGCGAGACTCTCTAGTGGCGAGCCTCTCCTAAGCTATCTCGTTGAACCTGCTTGTGCTCGCGAATTGCTTTCTCGTGGCGCAGATCCCAACCTTTGCGGTCCATCTGGAAAATCCCCCCTCTTTCGTGCCATAATAAGCAGCGAGGAAGAAAATACGGCTTTATTCGAGCTACTTCTAGAGTATGGAGCCAAACTTGAGCCAGAACTCCTATTTGCTGCCGTGGCTCCTCGCGTACGCCATCAAGAGCTCAAGACTAAGTTTCTTCTGGCCGAGGGTCTTGATCCTAACATGACCAATGCAGAATGGGGCACTCCTTTGCACCTGGCTGTCTACGCCGCAAAGCCGAATATTGTCAAACTGCTGCTAGAAGCTGGTACAGATCCTACAACAGGAGTGGCTGGTAGAAGATTCCCGGGTAAAAGCCCCTTGCAAATGGAGCAGACTTTAGGACATCGACATTCCGAGCTTACGGAGACTATACTTAGTCTTCTTCAGCCACAGCGGGGGCTCTGAAGGATACGGTTGAAGGATATTCTTACGTAGAGTTGGTACACTGGTTGCGCAGGTTACGAAGGCGAGGTCTGACCTGAATATTAAGTGAGTCATTAGGAAGAGGGGAAGGCTCTACCGACTTCTAGCCTCACTACCTGTTGAGGTTGTATGAGCAGAATACGTGCAAGAGATAGGTTTTGCTTCTTGATCAGAAGAAGCCCTGTGTTATTGCCTATCTATAGACAGAAGCCTAGTAGAAATTAATACAGACAGATGTTACCCCGGGCCTTATGATCGGTTCTCAGCTCAAGATATCCCCTCGGCTGGTAAGATATTGCCGGATCTGCATGAGGGATGGCAGAGTTTGATTAGCACATTAAAATGCTGACACCAACTAGATACAGTACAATTTAAACCAAGCTGACATTAAGTAATCTTCCATGTTGCACAGCAAAACCTCAATATAAGAATGGTTTTGTGACACTAAAAATAAGGATATAAAGTATTCTTATATCAAATCCCTGAACTAATCCTGAGAGTCACGGTAGATCACCCTAATCCACATATAAACGCAGATAATCGTCTAATCCAAACTGCCCCTCGACCATATTGCAAACAGGATTAGAATTAGTAATAATACTTATCTCGAAATGACATCAGCAATCACAGCCTATGTATTCCTTCAGACACCGCCCAAGTTTTCCGAATACTCCATCATCTCGATAAAATAGCTCTCCTTGATATGGCAACGTTAATACTCTTTTTTTGACGCATATTTGCTATGATGAATCTTATTCCATACGCAGAAACTAACATGGAAAAGGGAGACTCATATACCATCCGCCCACCTTTTCTTTTGAGGACTGGGTAATGAAGGGACTTGTATTGATTAGACTGAGTAAGATTCATTTACACCCCTCCATTATATCTCTCATTTCGTTAATTCATACCCCTCTCGCTTACCTCGATTATCTCTTACTAAATAGGTCTAGGCCCTCTGCCCCTCTCCTAGCTTAATCTTTGATCCAAACAATATATATAAATCTTTGCCTGGCCCGGCAAATCCATAATAATGCAAATATATTTTATCGTGTTGCACTAATAAACGAAATTCAATCTGTATGCTATGATGCTGTATGTTTATTATATTTGATTAAACGAAATAGGCAGGTATTAGTATGATTTGTCCCTATGCAGATCACCCTCAACGTCCGCACAAGCACACAAGCACACAAGCAATAATCTGTCGGATATAAGGAATTAATAGTGTACAATACAAAAGGGTAATAACTTACGTGTGAATGAGAATCAGTATAGGCGACAGCAAAGTTAGGTGAATAAAATGATGACAAAACTACAAACACATTCATAATGTTCATACTATTTTCACCATGACCCCCCCTTCTCCTACCTCCCATATACATACGCTGATAGACTGGTTACATTCCACACAACCACGATCCATTAACACCAGGCACCATGATATGATACTGCTACGATTTACAATTACTGGGCAAATCGTTTAAACACCAATTCCTTTCTTATATACCCTTCAAATTTTCTTCTTATATTTGAAATCTTATTGAGGCTGTGTATAGTTTAACGTAAGATAGATTGTTATTCGCTGACTAGAGTAGTCCTCTGAGGCAAAGGAAGAGCGGCTGGATGAAGAATGAATGTATGGGTTCAGTTACCTCCTCTTCTCCCTTATACCCAGTACACTTCTCTTCTACCGCGACTCACTATCATCTGACTTCTTGTAACAACTGACTTCTCGCAATGCAATATATAAGCACTTATTTTCTTGCCTGTACTACAAATCCCCAAAGAAATACCAGATACGCAGTCATCTCATATAGACTTTTAGCCACGGCTGTGGGTATCAGAAAAGGGAAAAGAGAGGGAAGAGAAGAGCAGCAGAGGATCAAACAGATTGACAGAAGAAAGATATAGGGATATATATTACCGCTGTGACAACAGTAAATATCCTCCGAAGTGATTATGTCGGATAAGAGTGATGATAATAAGATTGAGTATTGAAATAAATTCCCGATCAATTCACATTCATTAATCCCACGCCCTCGCATTCATCATACCATGACATTCACAAGGCAGCGACACCTTGGCCCATCAATTTCCTTTGCTGGTTTAGCTACTATTTGCAATAATCAGAAACTCATCAAAAATCCCGCTTCTCATATAGTCCTCTCATATTGTCTCCATATTCACAGACGCTCTAAAGGCGAGAAACATTACATATAATACTAAGTATGACGTGATGGAAGTCTCACCATTCATTTTTTCTACAGGATATGAATGATATATTTGTCTTACAATAGCAAGTGCGTATAGAATATCCACAGAGTTCACCAGCCTATACATTCCCTTTCAAATTCAGTACCTAGTATTATTGATCAAGTTTCTCAGCTATACAAATGTATCATCGACATTTAAATAATGTATAAAGATGCTCCTTAACCACCATAGAATTGTAAGACATAAGATTACAATCAAAATGGTATGCAGGACAGACGTGAGATTACAACCAATAAATAGTATGCAACTTCGTGTGGATGTATATTTTGACGGAATGAAATACAGTGCTGCGCATGAGAAAAGGGGTGTCGAAGAGCGGAAAGGGGTTCAAAAAGGTAACTAGACGAGAAATAGGTAATAACAGTAAGAATTTTGAAAATATAGCTTGAGAGATAGTAAAAATCTTTTCAAGTGATAATGCCGACAACAACGAAAATAAAAATAAATGACAACAAATTAGATAGATTAATTTGATACTAATCATCAACCCCTTCTATCCCATGCCATGCTATTCCACGTTCTCTTCTTACCAATGCCAAATCCATCCTTTTGTTTACTCTAAGACTAGAACACACAAACAATCATATCCACAAGGCACATAAACTACACAAACCATCCAATTCCATGGCATGGGCCAGTGTTCCTTTATCACAGTCTACAGTGATTAGAAACTATAGGAACTCTCGAGTCTTATATACCCCTTCATGTCATGCATCTCTAATTCTTAGGAGGAAAGAGGCGACTCTACCTTCAAGCAATATATAAATACCATCCTCATCCACCCTTCAGCCCTCAAACTCCTAGGTACGACACAGACAGCATAATAGGATCTGTAGACTTGTATACTGAGGCTTATAAAGAACAGTAGGAGTTGAATTCCCTACCTTGCTCGGATAGCATGTAAAGAAAAGTAAAAGTGTTACAGTACAATGTATAGTGGAAATTGACCTGTCACGGTATAGATGTGAATAAAGATAATGACAAGGTAAACAAACTGAATATCAATTGACGAGAATTAATGATACTCTTCTCATTCAATTCCAATTCCATCAAATCCAACCCCAATCTATACATTTCCTGCCATTTATCCCCCTATTCCTATCATCTCTCTCCTAAACTATCACAACACAAACAATACAAATCATCAATTCCAATAGGAGTATATCATGTCCCGATTTCACAATTCCTTCTGACTAGAAACCCATTGGGAGTCTCGACCTTTATACATCCTTCAATCCTTCTATTTATAATACTGCTCGAAAGACAACTTATATACCTTCCACTTGCAAATGTTTGAAAAGCTCGGGAAATCAGCGGAACCTCGATTTTGGGTATCTGATTAGACATTCACCTAGCGGGATTGTAGACGCCTTAGAATCTATGTTCAAAATTTAATAACTGCTGTATAAAGAGTGATAATACTTGAGAGTTCCCTCTCTAGATTTAGGATACATAATTAGCCCAACACACGGGATTATTGGATTTGCATATTCAAACCTGCTAATCTTTCAGCATTCTTGTATTATTTGATCTTCTACTCTGTACTTTATTGCCTTCTTGAATTCTTAAAACTCATCGGGATGAAAATGAGTTTACCGACAGCAAAAGAAGAGTATATAAACAAAAGTGATAATCGACTGGACTACCGGTATAACAATTGGAGTTCCTGTCCCTCAATATCAGAGTATGACTCTATTTTCTCATCAACCTGTTACAATGATAACACTCTATTTGGGCCGGGCTTCTGAGCGGACAATATTTCCTTGCCTTAGTCGACTATATCCGTCTTCTTTTTCGATCACTTGTTATTGAAACTGTATGGAGAGCCATCATGATGACTTATATAATAACTTGCGCCTTCTGATATCATAGAGATTTCGCTAAAACTACCCATATATCAAATTCAGAGCCTTCTTCGGAACAGAGTCTACAAGCAGATTACTTAAGGCGTAGTACCGCTTGTGGTTTATTTTCTCTGGATAAGATCATAGGGAAACAAATCGAATGACGCGCTAGGATTCGAAGATCTAAAATGAAGTTATGTATTATCATCTCCAAATTTCTTGCAAACACCACGGGATTCGTTGCGGGAATTTCTGGCTTATCATCTGGTTTACCGTGGTTATCAAATTGTGAAAGTTTTCTTGACAGTGGTGAAATTACGGACGAGAAAGGGTTCGCATGGTTATCTAACAGCAGTAAACTTAGCATAGTACATGCCAGCCACTGAATTACCCCATCACCGAATCAAAGGATTCTGAGTTCTGACTATTGCCATTTGCACACTATCTTTCGTCACCAGAGAGCTACTGCAGCTGCAATTGTTTACCACAATATTAGTCGACGCAATAGCTAGTAGCCTTATTCCTCGGTCCTTTGAAAGCTCTATTAGCTATATATCAAGAAATTCGCAAAACAAGCGTATATATATAGAGTGTATTACACACTAACTCAAAAATCTGAACTTGAAGCAGTCTAATGAACCAATACTCATTCACTCAATTCCTTTCAAGTTGTTCTCGAAGCACCTGCTTCACAAACCCTCACAACTTTCCCAGAAAACTGATGCATCCACCATGAAAGTTAAAAATCTACATATAAAAAGCCCTGTAATCCTCTATCTTTTCATCTACACTCAATACTATAGTCAGTCTCGTAGCTGGTGCTTCATGAAATACCCGTTATAAGAGAAACTTCCTCTTAGT